CTCCTGGCTGGCTCACCACAGATGTAACTGGGTGACAGGAGCCAGGCTGAGGGGGTGTCCCCAAAATGCTCACTGTTCCATGATTGATGTGTTTTCCCAGATCCTTGGGCCTCACTCACCCAAGAATGGGGAGAGGGCCCTGGTGGTGAAGTGAGCTCATTCAAGTAAATATTGGACCCAAACAGCTTTACAGAAAAGCAATTTATTAGGAAGAGAGAAAGAAAGAGAAATAGAGAGAGAGAGAGAGAGAGTTCCCATGCTGTCGTGAGAGATAGAAGGTTTCCATGCTGCTGTGGGAGGGGATCCCAGAGATGGAAATCTGTATAGGTAAGGGAGTAGAGGGAATTTAACCCTGGAGTCGCTCCCTCCCCATTCAAGTTCTAGGAGGTTTTCCAAACTTCCTTTGGAGTGATTGATCTTCGACTTTGATATAGGATTGGCTGCCTGGCCTGCAATCAAAGCCTTCTCCCTTGAAGCTTTCAGTGGGCTTTCTAAACAAAGGAAGCTCACCTGGGCTTTCTACCCAGCCCATGCATGGGAAAAGTTAGACAAAGAACTCAAGGCTCCCAGATAGGGAGGTGGATGGAAGCATGGTGCTAGGAAGTTCTTGCTTTTGAAACTATGCCTCTTGTGGACCTGGGAAGAGAAGTTAGCATAGTCCCTCAATTATAACAACCAAATGCATCTGAAAGTGCTTTATATTTTTAAAGCCCTATAATGAATATAACCCTTTTTAAATTAGAGATTGTTACCAAATTACAAATAGTTCCAGCTTTGGAGTTAAGTAACAACCTGTTTTGAAATTTCAGCTCCATTACTTATTATCTGTGAGACTTTGAACAAATTAGTAAAACTCTCTAAGACTGTTCCCCCCTCTCCCTTCCCCCGCCAGCCGTGTTGAAATACCTGTTTTGCATGGCCATATGGAAATTAAATGAAATAGCAAATATGAAAACTTTTGGCACAGTGTATAATTCATATCAGGCATTGATATGTTCTGTTTTTGCCCTAACCTACTTTTCCTGCAGCATATATCACTACACCTCTTTACAAACCCCACTAACAGAGCCACTCCAAACTACTTTATTTTCCCAAGCAATACAATATACTTTTATGTTTTTTCTTCAGCTACATGCTCTTTCCTTCTCTATCAAAATTGTACTCAATCTTCAAGCTCAGTTAAAATATTCAGTCCTCCATAAAACCCTTTGTACTTTACAACTGGTGTTTTTTTTTTTTTTTTTTTTTTT